CTTCCTGAGGGATGGGCAGGACAAGCCTGACTCCTCATCCAGCATAGGCTCTTCTCCACTATCTCCTTCCCTCTCACTGCTGCCCTCCATACCTTCTTCAACACTTACTGACTCCACCCATTGGCTCCTTCTTTTGCCCCAACCCTACACTGGCCAGGGACCCTCTCTGGTACCTCCAAGTCAGTAGTATACCCTCTACTTTGGCATTGTTCCCATTCTCCAACTCCTGAATGTGCAAATTACATCTACAGCACTCTTCACTCCACAGATACACATGCACAGAAGTCCTGGAACCAGCATTTCCCAGAGGTACCTACCATGAAGACAAACCAAGCTCCCAAGGCTGGTCTGAACGGCCTTATGGGTTTCTCTATCCACCCTCTCCCTCTTAACTCTGAATAATGGGATGAAGGTAGAAAGACAGTTTTTTGTTTTTGTTTTTTTAAAGATTTTTTAATTTTAGTTGTAGATGGACACAATACCTTTATTTATTTATTTACTTTTATGTGGTGTTGAGTATCAAACCAAGTACCAAGTGCCCCACACGTGCGAGGCAAGTGCTCTACCACTGAGCCACAACCCCAGCCCTAAGACACAGTTTCTTAAGAGTTGGGCTAGTAATCCCAGCCACTAGGGAGGCTAATACAGGAGGATCGCGACTTTAAAACCAGCCTTAGCAATTTAGCAAGGCCCTAGGCAACTCAGCGAGACCCCGTCTCTAAATAAAATACAAAAAAGGGCTGGGGATGTGGCTCAATAGTTAAGTGCCCCTAAGTTCAAAAAAAAAAAAGAAAGGAGTTGGGCTAGGAGGAGCAGGTCCTCAGAGATGTACTGCCCAATAAGGTAGCCATAAGTTACATGTGGCCATTTAAGCGTAAATTAAATAAAATATCACATCAGCCACATTTCAAGGGCTCAAAAGTCACAAGTGGCTTGAGGCGACAGAACAGGACAGTATAGATTACAGAAAACCATCACTGCACAAAATTCTATTGCATAGTCCTGTTCTATTCACTTCCTGGTAAAAAAACAGGAATTGCTGCTGAATCTGCAAGCTGACAACCAGAGCTCAGTCCAAGGTCACACCCAACTCTTGAGGTGCTGGTCAGTCAGCCAGTCTGTCTCTCTATCTCAGGGCAGCAAGAGAAAGCCCAATTCAAGCCAACTGTTCTGGAAAGCCAACAGCCAAGGGCAAGTATTTGTGTCAAGTTAATCACCTATGGAGAGCCTCCATTTGACTGTTGAAGAAGAAAGAGGTCAAAGGAGGACAAAGTAGCCATACACTACCCTGCTGAGAGCATAGAGATACCACAGAGCACCATTCACACAGCCTTGAACTGCTCACCTGCTCCTCAGCTTGGAATTTCTGGAAAAATGTCAAAAGAGGTTCAAATACAATACAGCAAAGTATGCCCAGGCTGGATATCCTCCTAGCTGGAAACCCTGGCTCTTGTAGAACTTGGACATCAAAGCACCCAGGCCAGTGCTTTCAGACTCTGTTCTAATTACTCCCCAGTGCTTGTCGTCAAACCCTATGGAGCATCTCTCCATTGTCACCTCTGTGCCCCTGAATGTTCCCACCTATGAAGGCTCTCCTGGAACACTCTCATTTTCCAGCTCCTTCAACATACTCTCCCTCCTGCTCACTCTTAGGTTCAGTTCAAGTTCCAAGCTGCCTTTCCATGAAATTTTCCTGACTCCACCTGGCTTTCCTAGGCAATGAGCCCCAGCAGTGCAGTCTAACATTGTATGCCATCTTTCCACCTGTCCAGCAGGGCTAGCTGATCACAGGACACTTTCTCAAGCAGTGCTGTGTCCTGTACGGACCCTTCCCCCAGGAGGACCTATATAGGCTGGAACCCAGAGACCCCACTTCCCATCCAAGATCTTGGCATCCCTGCACCTCTGAGCCTCTTGCCTTACCCCCCTCAAAAACCAGTCCTGTTGAGTGAGCTGACAAGGAAGTGCTTTGCAAAATACAGAGCCATGACCTATTACTATAGAGCTTTATGCTGAATAATATATGGAAACAGTGCAACCCCTAATCTTTTCTCTCTTCACCTGCCCCCATCTCAAGACTCTGATTCATCCATAATACCACTAAATTAGGATTTTACAGTCTGGTGTGGGGTGAGAAGATAAAACTGTGAGAAACCAAACAATGCTGAAATCCTGAGGCCTCCAGCAAAATCAGGCTCGGAGAACTCAAGAGGAGCTTGCCACTGGGTGCTAGGGGACTAGCAAGAAGTAATCCCCATAGGACAAATAGGTACAGACGAAGAAAGAGTTTAACCCTGGAGTCTTTTGTCACATCAAAGGACTTAACTAAAATCGTAGAGCACTTCCTTTCTAAAGGAGAAGACTCCTGGGAGCTTATCTGCTGGCAGCAGACAGTTCATACTTCCTTTTCAGTCTCCTCACTTACGTATTCTGTAAGAAGACACTATGTGGTGGAAAACTAACTCAAAGTAATTTAGATGCTTGCCTATCTTTTCCCCCACACATTTACCCTAATAAAAAGCTATTCAAGGGCTGGGGATATATTTCAGTGTAAGAACATTTGCCTGGTATATGGTTCAATCCCCAGCAACAACAACAACAAAAAAGTCACCCAAGAACTGAGGGGATTAAATATGACAGCAAAAGCACAGAAAGCACAGACAACAAAATCGTAACAGACAAACTGGACTCCATCAAGAAAAAAAACAAAAACAACTTTTGTGTACCAAAGGACATTACCATGAGAATAAAAAGACAACCCAAAGAATGGGAAAATATATTAGCAAATTCTCAATGTAATTATTAAAAGTTTAACATACCAAACACATAAACATCTCAACTACAACTAAGCAACAAAAAGACAACTCAATTAAAAACATGGTCCAGGGCAAGGGATGTAGCCCAGTGATATAGTGCTTGCCTAGCATGAATGAGGCCCAGGGTTCAATCCCCAGAACCTCCCCCACCGCCCCCACACTCATGCACAAAAGGAATTAGATTATTTTAATTAACACAATTAACAACATGGATAAACCCTGAAGACACTTATGCTAAGTGAAAAAATACTGTTTGATTCAACCTATTGGATACATAAGAGTAATCAAAATCATAAAGACAATGGTGATTGCTAGAGGTTGAAAGGAAGGAGGGATGATGAGTTACTGTTTAACGTGTGGAGTTTCTGTTGGAATGATGAAAAAGTTATGCAAATAGATTGAAGATTGGTTACATTAATGCCACTGAATGGTACACTTAAAATAACCAAAATTATAAACTTTTTTTTTCAGTGCTGAGGATCAAACCCAGTGCCTCACACGTGTCAGACAAGCCCTCTGCCACTGAGCTACAACCCTAGCCCTCATGTAGTCTTTTTTTTTAAAGCATTTTTTTTGAGAGGGAGAGAGAGAATTTTTTAATATTTATTTTTTTAGTTTTCAGCGGACACAACATCTTTGTTTGTATGTGGTGCTGAGGATCGAACCCCGGCCGCAGGCATGCCAGGTGAGCGTTCTACCACTTGAGCCACATCCCCAGCCCCCTCATGTAGTCTTTAAATGCAGGAAAAAAATTAACAAGCCTTTTTCCAGCCCATTGAGAATTCCTCTTTAAAGGCCAGTTCTGAGGGCCTGGTACATCTTTTCCATGGCAATGTGCTCTGAGAATGCCATTGTGCCCCTCTATTCAGACCTCAAACCAGGTCCCAATAACCTGAGCCCTAAATCAAACAAACAGCCCCTGTAGACTATGCAACTGTTTGAAAGGCTGTGTCTTGAGCTTCTTGGGCCAGTCTGTTTAGGGGACAACTGTCTGATGGGTTCCATGGACTGCCAACAAAAGCAGAAGCCAATCTGGCTAGCTTTCACTCTCTATTACTTCCTCTTTCGCTTTCCCACAGGACACAGACAGCTATACAGAAAGAAAAAAGAGGCCCCACTGGCAGCCAGCTTGGTTTTGTTTTAAGTTGGAAAGTTGAGTCCTTGTTTTCCCCCAGGCAGATTTCGATATTTAAAATTCTTTGTACTTAGAGTAAAAGACAAAGTTTTTTGCCCATACAACAAGTGAACCAACAACCCTTACACTCTATAATCTCTCGAGCCCTTTCATACAGATTATCCCATTAGATCGCAAAACAACCCAGTGAGAATGAAAAGAGGATGTTTTCCCCTACTGCAGACATGAAAAAAACCCGGCCTCGGATCTGAAGCAATCTGTTCCAAGCCCCACAGCCTCAAGTGACAGGGCCCACGCCTGCACACAAGCAGTGAACTTCAAAGTTTTCCTACGTCTCCACTACTTTGGAAAGTAGTAGAAATAAATTCAGACCGTTTTGGTGGCAAAGGAAAACACAGGAAACGCTTCTGAATCTGGCTCTTTCCCTGCAGTCCACCCTTTTACCTTTTTTTTTTTTTTTTTTTTTGGTACCAGCGATTGAACTCAGGAGCACCCAACCACTGAGCCACAGCCCCCAGACCTATTTTGTATTTTATTTAGAGACAAGGTCTCACTGAGTTGCTTAGCAACTCGCCATTGCTGAGACTGACTTTGAACTCGCGATCCTCCTGCCTCAGCCTCCCAAGCTGCTGTGATTACAGGCGTGCGATACGGCTCCTGACATCTTTTCCTCGGGATTTTTGCACTCAACGTCTCCTGCGGCCCTGTTCAAGGTGCGCAGAAGTGTCTACCTAATGCAAGAACTCCCGCGTGAGGGTGAAAGGTAGGCCCGGTCAGGGAAAAATCATGCCTAACCCAACAACCGACTGAAACTTGCAGCTACCGAACAACCACCGGCAGGTAGGAGTTACAGCGGACGCTACACACAGCCCAGCTGCCTTCACACCCGCCCCGGAACTGCCCAGCACGGGGGTGGTACAGTCTCCCCCACGCATGCGCCAGTATCCGCGCAGGCGCGCCTCCCAGCTGCCGTCCCCTAGTCCCCAGCTCTTCCGTGTGGACCCCGGACTCGGGCTGCCTCGACTACAGCCTCATTCCACGACCCTCACCTTGCGTCCTGTTTTCTCCCGTAGGGCCTTGAGCCGTTCCTTCCGCTTCAGCGCCTCTTCCTCTAGGCGGCCCACACCGGCCGCAGCAGCCGCCATCCTGCCTTCGACCCCTCCTTTCTCCCTACGTCACGCAGGTCGGGAAGTGCATAAAAGTCTCACGGCCAAACCGAGAACGAGAATGGGAGACAGGAAACCCCAAGAACCAATCAGTGTTGACTTGTTGCTGGAGGGCCCGCCCTCTCGCCTCACCGCGCCAGTGAGGAGCAGGCAAAAAAAAAAAAAAAAAGGTCCTGGGGTGTTAAGGCTCGATGTGTCTACCGCTACACAGTGAGAAAGCATCGAGTCAGACCTGAGAGAATAGATTGCATCGATCGCTCTGGTCTCACCTAAGCACTAAACACACCTCATTCACTCCCTGCAGGCCTCTTGTAATACCCCAGCCATCCTTTCAAGAAAGCTTCCTTAACTTTCTACCCCGATCCCTCTCTAACAGGAGTCTTCCTATCCCTCCTCTAGAGCTGTCTATGGCTCGCCCGATCAAGTGCATCTAAACTCTCCTGTCTGTTCTCAGTTCGAAGCTGGCACAGTGCTGAACCCGACTATGTGTTTTTTTCCCCTTCTGGATTCACAGGTGATTTCCTCTCATCCCCACTTCTTCTGGAGCGGCAAAGTACTCAGGATCGCGCTACCGTCTCTGAAGAAAAGCAAACGCCAACCTGGGCCAAATGAGCCCAAAGGAACAGTTCCCCAACTCCAGTTAGGAAGAATTGCTTTGGCCTTGAGTGCAACAGGTGGTCACAAGATGCATGGCACCCTAGCTGCCAGGGTCTTTTCTGCATCAATCAGAGCGCGTTAATAACAGAACACCTGGGCTGAAGTCGAGTTCTTCTGTCTGGAGTCTCCAAAGTCACACCCACGCCCCTTCCCAGAGAACAACTAGCCTTTAAGGCTGTTCCCTGCCTGGGACCTCCCAGGCTATCTACAAATGGACACTCACTCCTCCCCTTCCAACCCACTTCAGAGGCCCAAATGCCACAGACCTCCGATCCAGCTCAGTTGCCCTCTTGACCTCACTAACCTGGTTCTCTCTAGGCTCTCTCCCCCACTGCAGGTGACATGTCCCGCCAGGAACCAGCTCATGGGTTGTAAGTGCTCAGGAAATGTCAACTCAGAACCAGGATGGATGGGGCAGAAGAAAAGGACAGACTGAAGGGGCCAAACAAGAAGCCAAAGAAGACAAAAACAGTACAGGGATGGGGAAAAGGTTTGTCTTCTTTTGGACACCCAAGGTCTAGGGATCAGTCAATCCTAGGAACCATGGCACCTCTCTGGGGCTGGGAAATTTCCTCCCAGTTCCAACAAGGGGCCTGACCCTTGCCCAACATCAGGGTCCCCCTCAGTTCATAGGCAGGCTAGGGACAGGGAAAGGGACACAGGAGTGATGATGACAATGGCCTAGCAATCAATTAGGCTTAGGTCCTAGGTCCCTATCCCTGTGATCCTCATTTGGCCTTAGTTTCTCCACTTGTAAACCAGTCATGAGTCACCCACCTCATGAGGTTAAAGGTGAAAAAGATGATTGATTGCAGAATAATCCCTGTAATCCCAGCGATTTAGGAGACTGAGACAAGAGGATGAGGCCAGCCTTAGCAATTTAGAGACCTACTGTCTCAAAATATAAACAAATGAACAAACAAACAAACAAATAAGGCTGGGGATGTAGCTCAGTGATAGAGCATTCCTGGATTCAATCCCCAGTACCTTCCCCCTACCCCCAAAGTGCAAAGGATATAAAGGAAGTGCTGGGCTCTGGTTTGGGGAGTGCCTCCACTGGAGCATCTGGGAAGGCTTCCTAGAGGAGGGAGGGAACTCATGGGGATCATCAAAACCACTCAGGGATCAGCCCAACGGAAGGGCACCACTCTCCTGGGGGTATTTCAGGCTCCTCCTGCTGTTTGCTCCCGGATCCTCCCGCTCCACACACAGCAGGAGCTCAAAAGTTGTATTTAGATCTTCCCATAAAGAGCTTATAACAGCATCTGGCACGTGGTCACTACAAGTGGTCATCAAGGAGGTGGTTATTGTTATTTGTTGAATGACCCTGGCAGTTCCCTCACTGCCCATAGCCCCTTCCTTGAATGGCGGTAATTCCAAACTAGGCGGGATGCTTAGCGGGCGAACTCAGACCCAAAGCAAGCCTGGTAGCCCCGCTGTCTGCCCTGATCCGGAAGGTTCAAACGACCCTTCCAGTGGCGCCGGTGGGGTGCGGCCTGCGAGGGCGGGGCAGCGGGGCGACTCCTGGGCCGCCCTGACCTCAGGCTCCTCCTCTCGCCGGCCTCCCCGCCCTTTGCACGGTCCCGGGAGAGGCGGGGTGGCGGTGTCGGCGGAGGCGGCGGCGCTGGCGGCAGCAAAGTGCAGGAAACCGGGTGGCGGCCGTCCGGGATGAGGTGGAGGAGGAGCTGTAGACTTAGAGGCTGAGAGCGGCAAGGGCCGGAGCCGCGGACTTCCCCCAGCAGTCCCGCGCCGCTCCGCCCAGGAGTGACGCCCTCCGCCCATGGGCCTGGCCGGAGGCAACCGGCGGGCGGCGCGGAGGAGGCGGCGACAGGTGGCGCGCAGCAGGGGCAGAGCCGGGTCAGGCCATGGCCGCCTCGGAGCGGCTCTACGAATTGTGGCTGCTCTACTACGCGCAGGTGAGCCCGCCCCGCGCCCGCTGTGCCCCCAGCTCCGCGCACCTGGTGCCTGCTGCACCTGCGCCCGGCTCTGCCTGGGCCGCGAACACGCGCGCGCGCCGGGTGTGCTCCAGCCCAGCACACGTGTGTGCCGGGCCTCAGGCACTTATATCGAGGGACAGCGCTAGCGGCCGCCCACATCACAGTAAGCCCTCTGGTGGGCCAGACACATCCCCCTTTTATAGCTGGGGAAATTGAGGCCAGGAAAGAATAAGAGACTGGCCAGATCGAAAGAGGGAGGGGCACTCAGTTTGCATGTGGACTGCCTCGCCTGCCAGTGAAGCCGGGTGGGTTGGTCTTCTGAGTGGGCTGGGGGGGATCTTGGCAGGTGCAGTGGGGGAAGATGTGCTCCTACTACAGGTCTGACTTGAGTCACCTCAGACTCCCCTAGAGAAGTGGCAGTGGTGAGCTTCCCAGGCCTTGAGGTAGCCCCACCCCACTTCCATTCTGGGGTGGGAGGCTGGTGGAGAGGTTGAGGCCAGAGAGGATGTTTAAAAGGAATAGAGAGAAGCTCTTTCCCTCTGACCTTCCTCACTGGTTTCAGGAACTACCTAAGGTGGCCTCAGAATGTGATCAGAGTGACTCTGACCTGTTGTCCCCCAAACTCGGTCGCACACATAATCACCCACTTTTCCTTTGCATTTACAACAGGGAGAGATGCCAGGGTACTGCCTCCCTGCACCTGCCAGGCATGTGCTTCTGGCTCAGGTGTGCCCTGGGCACAATGGACCATTGTATGCCCATGAGCAGCTTCTCACTGGGGGGAGGTTCATGCTCAAATCACCTAGCCCTCTGTGAAAAGGCTAGCCAGTGGTCTCCCAGGGACCTAGAGTACAAGCCATAAGGACCACAGCTTCTTTGGTTCACTCAGGTTGTGAGAGGTCCAAGCCCCTGGCAGGAGGCAGTGCATGGAATAGAGTCTCTCTTGGTGTGACCCACACCAAGTTCTTTGCAATTCTAAGCCTCTACTTCCCTGTTTGTAGAATTGACAGAGCCCTGACCTCAGGGGCTGCCTGGACTTTGTAGAGGGGTAGCCCCTCAGACTGGTTCAGGCCAGAGTAGGCTTCTACTTTCCTGGCTCCAAGGGGTCCCCTTGCTCTAGCCTGAGGGAAACCTGCCCATAGCCTTCCTTTCTCCAATTGTCCTATGGCCTTGGGCTGGTTTGGGGTCCTCAAATGAAGGAGGCTTAAACCAGGTGATGAGTCTGAGGAATGTTAATGATGGATGGGTCTTCCAGCTGGGTGGCTGGCTGCTGGGGTGTCTTGGTAAAACTTCCAGGTCTGTACCTCCATCCAGTATGGTTGCCTCCAGATGCCCCTTCTATCTGAGTAATGCATATGGTCACCCCCTATCCCCTCAGGAGGTGATTAGCCCTCATGTCTGTGCTGGGTCTCCCATCTCCCCCAGCTCCTCACCTTACAGGCCCAGGCTGCCTGGTGGTAGTCTAGGAAGCCTGGGCAGGCAGGGGGCAGCTTGGGGCCAGGCAAACAAACCCAGGATGTGTGAGCTTACCCGGGAGCTGGGTGGGGCCAGGCAGCCTGGAGAGAGGAAGCCTGGCCAGGCTCCCCCAATGCCTTCCTGCCTGACTGCTCATGCTCCAGGAACATGGTTCCACCCCTCTGTGCTGGGCTCCCAGGAAGGGATAGCACTGCCCTGCAACTTTGAACCCTGCTAGGGAACCTATTGTGTGTGTGCTTGGGGAAGGGAGAGTGTAAGGTAAGGTGTGAATCTGATGGAGGGTGTTAAGAGACCCTCTATCAGTCAGCCACCACCCAGCCAGCAACACCTGCGCCCTCTCCCTTCAGCAGTGAGAGCTGACACCAGCTGGCAAACCTGTTTCCCCAGTCTTGGGTCTGGGTGAGGACAGAGCGGGGAGTGCCCCTCTTCCTGCCCTTCCTCTTCCCTTAAGGACCCTAAGTTTAGACCCGCCTCCCCTCACTTCTGTGGGCCCTGCTCTTCTGAGACTGAAGGAGAGAGGGGGGAGGACCAAAGTGACCCTAGACCTCACACAGTTGGAGCTCCTCAAGGCCCTGGTGGGGAATCCAAGGTCATCAGAAAAGTTCCTGAAGAGGTTTAGTCTGTGGGTAGGAAACCCCAGGTGGATCTTCACCTGGGACACCATAGGCCGTTTCCACATTGGGGTCTTTTTTAACTCTCATTATGCCTGGTACCCCACTGCTTTCCAGCTCCTATATGTGGTAGGTGCTTCTGGCTGTTAGCTGAATGACCAGATGAAGGGGTAGGCCCCATGGTAGTGATCAATCAAGGAAGTCATCCTAGAGAAGGCTTTCTTCGGGGGCTTTTGGGATGGAAGGGACAGGAATAGCAGGAACAAGCACATGGCAATGAAAATGCAAGCAGCAAGTTGTCGGGAATGGGGTCATGGCAGAGGTGACCCAGGAGGCCTGGTGGATAGGTGGGAGCATATCCAGGGATTCCCCAGGGAGGGCACAGCTTGAAGAGTGTGAGAGGACTAGGGGATTGGGATAGCACCTGACAGGCTGGCAGTTGGGCAGCATGTAAAAGTTAATGCAGAATAGAATGCAAATAAGCAGTCCCTTTTAAGGCCGAACAGTAATGAATATTGTTCAACAGCCCCCAACCCCTAGTGAAAGGATTTAGGGACACTCAGGATCACAAAGATCAGGATGGGACAAACACTCAGGTTACAGGTGGGGAGCCCAGGCTAAATTTTCCAGTTACACCATTGAGGACTCAAAGGGTTGGAGGAAGTCAGACCAGAGCTGGAGGTGACCTTGCCCTGCCCACCCTCCCCTGAGTCCCTTATCCCTGGCCCATGAACTCTACTGCCTCATGGAAATCTAACCAGGGCCTCTGCTCCCTCTAGGTCCTTAACTGGTTCCTATTTCTTCCTATGCCTCAGTTTACCTTCTTGAAATAGGCAAAGGGGTGGCATGAAAGTCTCCGAGGTGCTTGGTTCCCTTACACCTCAGAGGGGAAATGAGTTTCTTCCTTCCAGCCTCTATTTCCAAGGCAACTGAAGGGAGAGGGACGGAAGTGATAGGGAAATTACCACAGAGCCCAGGGTTGGGGGAGGGGCTGGTAATCCCTGGTGTTGTTATGACATCTGGGGAGCTGATGGGAGAGTGTGAGGTCCCCATGGAAACAGGGTCAGTTACTATGGGGACCCTGGAAGGAAGTTCCCAGTTTCCATAGTGATGAGACAAGGGGATGGTTAAACTCCCTGAAGGGTGTTATGGAGACCAGAAGGCTCACCCTTCCCCTCTGTTTAGTATCCTTTTTCCAGGTAAGGGCTAGAGACTGACTCACTACCCAGAATTGGAACCATCCTCAGTTGTCTCTGTCCCTGTCAAAAGGTCCATCTTCCTGTTTCAGCTCATGGTCTGAGGTCCTCCAGGTCTGACTTCCAGAAGCCACCTTTGGCTTGACATTGGCCTCCTCCTCTTGATGCTACATGGGGGATTCCCTACCTTAAGAGGCCATCCTGAACAGAACCCACCACACCTGTCTCATTTCTGCTCTTCTGTCTCTGGAGATAGGGTACTACCCATCATTGAACTGCAATTTACCCTACCTATTCTGAGCTCTTCCCTGAGGTCCATCAACATACTCCACCTCACCTGCGTAGGGCAACAAATTGGGGAGCAGCCCAAAAGACCTCAACTCTGTCAATGAGCCAAGGTCTGCCTCTTGATCGCACTCTCAGAGGGAAGTGGGCAGGGTTGCTTTGGAATGCCAGGAACTTGGGCAGGCCAGAGTGCTTGGATTGGAGCTCCCATCACGTCACCCTCACCTTGATCCTGGGTGGATATGGCTGCCCACTGAGCAAAGGGGTCATTTTTAAAAAGTACTAAAGGGCCAGACATGATGGTGCACTTCTGTAATCCCAGCTCCTTGGGAGGCTGAAACAGAAGGATACCAAGTTCGAGGCCAGTCTGGACAACTGAGTGACACCTTGTCTCAAAGTAGATAAATAAATAAAAAGGGCAGGGGATGTATCTCAGTGGTAGAGCACCCTGGGTTCAATCCCCAGGACTGCAAAAAATAGATAAATAAACAGGCAGTGGAGGCTCAGAGGTTGACATTAACAAGCTGCTAACCACAATTCTGTTGGTAACCCCAACCTCTGAAGCAAAGCACATGTAGTACTGTAAGGGTGGGAATAGCCAGTAATGCCCTTGGGGCTGGAACATGCAGCAGGTCTGGGGTGCCAAGGCTGGAGAGGCTGGGGACTTGCTCTAAATATGGAGCTGGAGCCAGGAGGGTGACTGGCTGATTGGGCAGGGTGACTGATGTCTACTAGAGGCCCTCTGCATGCTGGGCCTTTAGTAGCCCCACCCACGCCTCCATGCCACAGCAGCCTGCCCTCAGGCCTCCCAAGTTACCTCAAGAGTTCCAGGAGACTGGCAGTTCCCTGATCGCCCAATACTATTTGAGCCTCCCAAGCTCTCAAGAGCCCCTCACTCCCAGAACTCTCTGCATGTGCTCAGGGCTAGTTGGGCATGTGTCACTGCTTAGCAGATTAAGATCTTTATAGGGGTGATCATTAGTACTTGTCCTCTTCCATACCTATAGCCTTCTCCCCTGCCACAGGGCCCTGGCACCATTTAATTCCTGGGCTCAAGGGCCCTGAGGTGCTCTTAAGCAGGTGTTCTTCCTCACCTGCCCCCCAGGGGTTGAGGCCCTAGCCTAGTCCTGATGGGTAAGAGGCTGATCTAGCCCTATACCTGTTCATGCTCTGAGCAAGAAAGGGTAGGAGGAGCCAATGGGGCATAGACCCATTGAAGAAGGGCCTGGGGAGCCCAAGCACACAGCCACCCTTTTCAGGCTCTGGACGCCCTCACCTGCAGCACTCCTAGCATGCTGTGCCCCCTTGGCCTGCTCTGTCTCTGGTCCTGGCTCTGCAGGGATTCCCATACCCTCAAGCAT